GTCCACAAAGAACTCTTCATCGTGACCTCCTGCTGCCATGCGGTTTCCTTACTGTGACCCCGGTCGAAAGCGAAATTAACCCGCCAAAGGCAGTAAGGCGACCAAGAACTCGACAATATTCTAAAGATAACACATCAGATGGAGCTGATGAAGATGAATCCCAATCTGATTCTGAGGAATATCACTATCAAAGAAACCTAAAAGTGGACACAATAGGTTTCAACCTGACCTCCGGACCTATGGAATACTTACCCGAAAGGATCGAACCAGAACCTGACTTGGCTACTGTTGAGCAAAATCTTTCAGACGTAGCTGAAGCTTCCCCTGAGAATTCTCCAGTAGAAACTTATGACAAAGACTCACCTGATCCTGAAGAGAAAGACTCACCTGACCCTGAAGAGAGAGACTCACCTGATCCTGAAGAGAGAGACTCAATTGCTGAAGAGGAAATTGGGAACCTACCTGAGAAAGATCCGGATAATATCCATCCTTCTACTCAACCTGCTCAGGAGAGCAAAGAAAACACAAGTGATCTGGGTCAAACAGACAACCAAAATGAAAGTGACTGTTCGGGGAGACCTATCAGAGACAGAAAAGCGACTAAAAGACTGACTTATCCTGAACTAGGAAACCCGTTGATTACAATAGTTCAGTCTTTATTTCAAACCTTGAGTGATGTATTTACAGACTCTCTTGAAGAACCTAGCTCTCTAAGAATCCCTGGAGTTATGACAGTATGAAATTCAAAATGCACAGGGACGTGCATTAGGTAAAGAGGGGAGGATGTAACCCACGTTAAAATCTGACAAATAGGAATAAATAGCTGCTCAGTTAAAATCTGAATAAATAGGAATAAATACTTGCCCATGTTAAAATCTGACATAAATAAGAATAAATAGCGGATTAAAAGTCTGAACAGAGAATAACGTCGCTGCCCCTTTAAGGAACCAGCGTCACAGATGCGACGCCTGGGTGACGCTGCGGTGCACAAACCAGAGGGAGAGAGCAGAGGAGGAATCGGAGGAAAAGAGCAGTTGATTGATTAACGGAAAAAAAGTTAATATTATAGTTAAGAAGACATAATTTACCTGGTCGGAAACTGACGGGGATTTTATGAGAACTAAGTTACATCGGTTTTGGTGAGTTTTGTGTTTATTTTTTTACATTTTTCACCGTGTTGTACTTTTCCTTTTGGCGGAAAGCTAACGCTTAAGACGTAGCTGTTTGCAAGAAATGCTCCGTTATAAACTGTGATCAGGTTAATGAATAAACGGTTATCCAGTTAATATGTTGAGTTTATGAAGAAGAATTTATTTGTATAATTTAAGGATTTAAAAAGAGTTTTGTCGATTTGTGGCCTGTTACACAGGTCAGGTTTTTTTGTTCGGTTGGAAGCTCGGTCGGAGCGAAGATTGGTCTGCCGTGTGCGACGTCCACATTCACAGACGGGATTCAAGATGGCGAGCCAGACCTAGACCTTCAATTCATCTTCTCCATCATATCAGGGAGGGACTCTCCTGCGTATGATAATTCGCTGCCGGAGCGGTAGGAACTTCAGGAACTAGTTCAAACCGAACTGGACAGGATTAAGAACTGATTTAAGAACTGGTGAAATTATTATTATTTTTCTGGACTGAATCAAAACTGAAGCTTTTCATTGAACTGAGAACCTGAACTCACATTTGGACTTGAACTTGAGTTTAAAGTGTCATACTTAAATTTTCATATGTTATGTCTCTGAATGTGAATTGAATAATTGTGGTCCACTTTGATTTGTTTGAGGGTATTTCCTTACCTGTGAAAAAAAATGAGTTAACTCAGAGAAAAAATAGGAATCCTAAAATAGGTGCAACCTAAGAAAAGGAGACTGGTCTAACTAACTTAAATTAGTTTGACTAAAATAACCTAGGAAAAAGAGACTGGTCTAACTAAATTAGATTAGTTTTACTGAAATAAGCTAGGTGAACTAATGAGTAAAAAGAAGTGATACACTTTTCTTTTTCTTCTTTTTTGGGGGGGGGTTTTGTGTATTGTGTTTCATGTGTGTTTTGCATTCAGTAAATTGCCGGCTTTTTGCATTTAAAGCAGCGGTCTCTGGTGTTGTTATTCTTGCTTCCCCACTCCTTAGAGCCTAGAACTGGTCCAGTAGCGCAGTTAGCCGTGTGATACCGGTGCTACAC